GGCCTGGGGGCTCCTCCCTCTGAAATTTTTGAATAAAGTCAATGCAACTTACTGCATTTTAACAACCTGTTAAAATGCAGGAAATTGCATTGACTTTATTCAAAAATTTCAGAGGGAGGAGCCCCCAGGCCCCGCCCCTCCTGCTGCCCCGCCCCTCCTGCCGCCTGCTTGTTGCGTTTGCATTCCAGCATCAATCGATTTATAAATTAATCCCTGTTACTTGGTATGGTATGCTGCTATTATTATTCTGTTCAGTTTTATATAAGTTTTCTGTAATAATTTGAAGAAGTGGCGATACATTTATGTTCAAAGTTTTAAAATAGTTTTTGACAATTTTCTCAAAACAGTAATTTTTGGACGTTGAAATTAAAAATTATTAATTTAAGTGTGTCTTGAATGAAGAATAGCCCATGTTTAAAAGTATAAAAATTGTACTGACACTATTAAAGAACAGGTCTTAAGTATTTGTTACATAAATATTTCCATTGCATTAAAGAAACAAATTGAAGAAAATTATTGAATAAACATGAGTGATATGAGGGGGTCCCTGAACCCAAAAAGTTTGAGAGCCCCTGGATTAAAGAGCTTTAACTGAACATCCTTATTTGTTGGCGGCACGTTTAGAGTCCGTTGCACCTGGCCACCTACCTGAACCTGACGGACGTGGTGAAGGGCCTGCTGGAGAAGGGGGCCAGCCTGGAGCTGCAGGACCAGGACGGGAACACAGCGCTGCACGCCGCCTGCCAGCACGGACGGACGGACTGCGCCACCGAAATGACCAGAGATCTCCCTCCAAGCGTTCTGGTGCCGGTCCTCGAGATCCAGAACTGGAGAGGTGAGAAGAATTATGACGGTGCTGTAATCGTCATTTTATTTTGTGTCTTCTTTTAAATAATCTCCTGTTGAAGTACTTGTGTAATAAAGGAAACCACTCAGTTATTGTAATCGTGAACACATTTAGCTTTAGGGACAAACGTGTTTGCATTTAAGCCATGCATTTTAAAATGTAAGCTTGAAGTGGCATTTTCAGTAGATGCAAATTTTTGCAGCAGTTTTTTTTTTTTAACTCTTCTTTTTTTGTAAATTCTAGTTTTGGTTTGATATGTGCAACAAAACCTCACCAGTTTAGTGTTGTCTTTTAGTTTTACGGTCCACCTGTTACAAGTTTTGTGGGCCCTGTGTTGCATATTTCAAACAAGAAGATTGTTTTCCTCGCAGGTCTTGCCTGTCTTCACCTGGCCGCACTGAACCGGCAACATCAAATCATGAATCTTTTGATGAAAAAGGGAGCGGATCTTAATATCCAGGTTAGTCTGCGAATTTCTGCAGCGCATCTCACGTCTTCACGACTGAGCTTAAAAGCTGAAACCATAAACTGAAATTTTTCCACCGGAAGTGTAGAAAGCAGATTTTTGTCTTCAAATATTCAGTCTGGAACTTTAAAAAAAAAACTAAACTTTGATTATCAGCAGTCGTCTTAAAACTGGAAAAATACGATGTCAGTTTTTAACTAAAATCATTTTAAACTGAGAAGTGATGGATGCAGAAGTGTTTAGGTCAAACCTTGTAAATGACTTGATGCAAGATCTCCTTATTAAGGCTTTATAAACCCTTCCCACGCTCTTACAATGTTCTAAACTCTTAAACCTACGTAATTTTAACAACATACGTATTTCTGTACTGCACAGTACTGCAACATGTTATATGGGTACTAACCAGCCTTGGTCAGGTTCTGGTCGGCTCTCTGCAGACGTTGAGCACCAAGACACTTTTAGAAAGAGCTGGACCTTCGGGTAGCCAGCACAAAACCACACAATGGTCCCGATCGAGTACAAATCCGGATGAAAAAAGTCCCGGTGAGCTCTGGAGAAAACACCGGACCTCCAAGCAACTCCTCCTCACTTGAGAGGCCTCATGGGCCGCAAGCAGTTCTCAGATTGACCGATGAGGCTGGAAGTCTGGTTCTGGTCCAGTTCCCAGTCGGTTCCGTACGGCCCTCTGCATCCACTGAGCAACAAAGTCACTGAATAAGGACCAAACTTTTTTGGATCGGATCAAAACTTTCCCTCCATTTCAGCAGAAAGCAACAGCTGGTAGCACTGTTGACGTCTGGGTAATGTAGTCCCTTTGACTGGCAATACAGTGTAGGCTTATTGAAAGAAAACTACAAAATGGTGGCGCCTATCCAAAGCAATTTTTTCATTAACGTTTTACTCTATCCTGTACTGTCCCAATCTTATGAGTAATATTAAAGTTGACAGTCGTGTGTCGTGTACAATCTTTATTTTTTTTGTTTGTTTGTTTTTGGTCGTTTACAATCTTACTTTGAAAAACTGCGAAAGAGCGAGTCTGCATAAGTTGAACCGCAAAGTAGCAGTTCCATTTTGTTTCCTGGCATCTGTTGAGCCTGAAATAGTTAATTAGTTGTTGTATCATTGATTCGTCCAGTGGTTCAAGAGATATTTTGCTAATACAGTAGTCCCTCGCTACTTCACAATTCGTTTATTGCGTACTTGCTCTATCACGGTTTTTCAAAATAAGAGTGGACATGACGCACAATTGGTTGATTGATGGATGAGCTGCTCGATCGGCATGGAATTTTTTATTTAAAATAAATTATTTTAAATTATTTAGCACCTGCTGCACCTTTGTGCAGCTCATACTGCAGGACCTGCAGTATGAGCTGCACAAAGGTGCAGGAGGAAGCTTTTTACGCTGCTCTGGGCTGCACAAATGTGCAGCAGGTGCTAAATAATTTAAAATAATTCATTTTAAATTAAAAATAGCATGCCGATCATGCAGCTCATCCATCAATCAACCAATTGTGTGTCATGTCCACTCTTATTTTGAAAAACCCCTGCTTGTACTACTATTCCTACTTGACGGTTCATTTATCGCGGGGTTTCAGGGTACAGATCCCCCACGATAAACGAGAGACTACTGTAGACACCGCTGGTGGCTATCGGTTCAAACTGCACTCCAGACATTTTAGATTTGATAAAGTCTCCTGGATTGGAAGCGAAACATCTTAAACATCAGAATAATTACTTTTTTTTGTATTTCCACTCCCTCACACTTTAATAGTGTGTATTTAATTCAGTAATGTCACATCTGTCCTCTGGAAACTTTATTTACTGCTTGTTTTCTCACGCTGAGTTCCTGTTTATAAACCTCCTGCACCTGTGCAACGTTGATGGTGATACGAGCTGAGCTCAGGGCTTCCCGCAGAATTCAGGGAGACATAATTAGATTTGAGTTATGATTAGTCCGGCTGCCTACGGCTCTTAACTTTCTATTGATGGAAGGGAACATGGCTGTCAGTCTCATAACTACCTCAGACATTCCTCTCTGCTCACATCACTCTCCCAACTTGACGCTCTGCCTCACATGCAGCGTACCGAATTATTAAACCATGAGCTTGTTTATCCACACTCGCAATTATACACTTAGTAAAAGCTTTTATGTACAATCAGAAGCCAAACAATTTACTTACAAACCTTAGAAATCACTGGTTAATTGTTTTTCATCTCTTCCCGTTGCAGGAAGGAACCAGCGGCAAAACGGCTCTTCACCTCGCCGTGGAGCTGCGCGACATCCAGTCAGTGAAGCTGCTGCTCAGCAGCGGCGCCGATGTGGACGCTGCCATGTACAACGGCTGCACGCCGCTGCACCTCGCCGTGGGGAGGCAGGACATCGCCATCGCCAACCTCCTCTGCCAGTTTGGCGCCGACAAGATGCTGCGGAACATGGAGGACGAGACGGCGCTGGATCTGGCTGACGGCAACGATGACGTAAGCACTTTTTACTGATGGCGAAGGGCCAACAAAGTTCATAAAAAATGCGACAAAAAATTATATTTGTAGACTTTCATAAGCGGATTTGGCATGTTCAAACGTGCTGTTATTTTATCTTGCATTTAAAAACACCTTCCTGCTGTCAGGAATTTATATCACGGTAATTTTTTTTTATGTTTTGGCTTTTTATCTTTTCATACTGACTTCATTCTAAAAAAAAGTAGGAGTTTAAATTTAAAGAGAGGAAAACGAATCATCTCAGCTCTTCATTAATATAGAGAAAATCTCACAGAAGGTTCTTGCCGTGTTGAGAGAACTGTGGAACATTTTTTGGTGCCAGGTGTTGCGGGCTCGGTTGCTTTTTCGCTACGGAGCCGAATTTGATCTCGTCTTGTTGTGAAGGAAAGAAGCAAGACCTTCTCTGATAAAGCTGTGAGAACTCCAAACTTTAACAAGACGTTCAGGGTTTACAAAAATGGAATTTCAAACCTTGATCTATCAAACTACAAGAACATTTTGTATTTGCCTCAGTCCAGATTAAATGCATGAATTAACTTTTTAGCGTGTTGAAAGTCCAAACATCCATCCATTATCTTTACCCACTTCTTCCTTTTTGGGTCATGTGGGGTCACTGGTGCCCATACCCAGCAGTCACTGTGTGAGAGGCGGGGGACAAGGTCTCCAGTCCATCACAGGGACACATAGAGACAAACGACACCTAGGGACAATTTAGAGTTACCAATCAGCCTAACATGCATGTTTTTGTTCTGTGGGGGGAAACTGGAGTACCTGGAGAAAGCCCACGCATGCACGGAGAGAACATGCAAACTCCACCCAGACAGGTCCCCTGCCAGGATTCGATCCGGCGACCTTCTTGCTGAGAGGCAGCAGTGCTACCAACTGTGCCACCGTGCCGCCCAAAGTCCAAACATTGTTTAACAAAAGCATTGTATCATATTTTTCAGACTATAAGGCACTTAAAATCCTTTAATTTTCTCAAAAATCAACAGTGAGCCTTATAATCAGGTGTACCTTATGTATTAATTCTGGTTGTGCTTATTGACCTAGAACTGATTTTACGTGGAACACGGCGCTCAAAAATCTGTCAAAATGAACTTGTTTCGCTTAATGCGCCTTATAATCTGAAAAATACAGTACATAACTCTGTAGTTTATGAACACAGAAAGATGATGTCGTGTAAAACTAGTTATCTTCAGTTAAAAGGTTTCCTGGGTTCATGTTGACAGCGTTTAGCTCGTCTTAGCATTAGCGTGATTTCTACACCATCTCAGCGAGGCGCTGCTCTTTGCTCAACCCAAAACAGGCAACTCGACCCCGGCTCAGTCTGCCTGTCTCTGAGGGGGGGCAGACTCTGCGCGGCTGACCGAAATATAAAATTCAAACAGAATTAGTGTCCATATCTTGTTGTGTGCTAAAATGGTTTCTCAGTTTGACCATGCATGTTTTTTTTGTGTCTTTCTTTCAGATTCTGGCCCTGTTTCCTTTTGATGACCTCCAGATCTCTGGAAGAGCAGTGATCAGTGGGCGGCATGAAGTTTTGAGCTGAATCACAGGATGAAAATAAACAAACAAACAAAAAAGAAAATAAAAAAGACAGTTTTCAATTTTGTGCGAAGCCTCTGCAGAGCTGGAACGTTTGATTGAAGTAGTAACTGGTTTTGAGCTTTCATTAAATAGTGCCTTTGTATATTTTATTCTGAAATCCAGTGTAATATATGCCTCACATTAATCCTGTTTTTTGTTGTTGTTTTTTTTCCTCACAAACTGAGTGATTATGCGTAATTCAACACTGACCAAAAAATAAATAAGAATAAATTGGGGGTTGTGTTCAGTTATAAATTGCCCCCTCACTGCTAGTGCCAAACGTTTTAATAACATGTTGAAAAATTCTACCTCCTTTTAAAAATTGACTTAGTTTTACGTACATTTCTTAACTCTATCGTTGCCTTTGTGATCATTTTTAAACTCTGGAAACGCAACCATGTTTGTCATGTCCAGATACGTTTTTATTTAAAAATGCAACAACAGGCATTCTTTAAAAAGTTTATTTTCCTCTTAAAACTGAAAAATGTTCATTTTGCAATATAAATGCATCCCTTCTTCTGTTAAAAAGTTAATAACCAGTACAGAAATGTAACATATTACACAAAAAGCAGCTTTTTTTCCTTATTTATCTCGTCTCTTCTTTATCTGCAGAAAGCATCTGATGTTCTTTTGTGTGTAATTACACTGGGCTTTCTAGTTAAAATAAGCAGTTCATCTATTTTTTAATAAAACAAAAGAAAAACATTTTCATTGTGCTCTTTTTTTTTTTTCCATGGGAGAAGGAAGTTTGAGTTTAATAGTTTTATTTAATTTATTTATTTTGGCACTGGTGTTTGTGCACACCCAGAGCTGCAGGATCTTTCTGTTCTACAGTGGAAAGTCCAGATTTAATAAAAATAATGTAAACTTTTCCACGCAATGTAAAATGATTTTAGATTCCATCTGAGGGAAGATCATTTAGCTCTTGCAGGCTTTATGTGGATAATTTCAAACGTGCATTTTCTGTTCAGTTAACCACTTCTGTGTGTTTGTGAGATCTGGATGACAAAGTCCTTTTTGTTTCCTGGCAGGTACTTATGCAAGGTGTTTTTTGTTGTTTTATCACAAGTGTCTTCTTCCTCATGGCCTCTGCAACACAATGAGTCGAGCGGCTGGAAATTCCACCAACCTGGATCGTATTTGAACACACCATCAGTAAAACTGGTTCACATTACAGAATGCTCATTAAGGTTTATGAGCTAAAATGACTCTTTACTAATTTAAAACGGGTCTAAATTTTATAAAAGCAGTTTTGTGTGCAAAACGTTTGATAAGAGACACGAAATGGTCTTGTTTCTTTGGTAAACCGCTGGAAGAAGGAGTTATGAAACCGTACCCACTTCCCCATTCAACTGTGAACTGGGAAATCCTGAAGTTATCTGTGTTATGTGAACTATAGGTCATGTTTGTGCCAGCGGCAATGAAAAGTTGAAAATGTTTCAGGGATTTTACTTTGTAGTTTTACTTACTGTTGCTCTAATAATAGGCTAGCTCCATAGAGACTCATCTCCCACCTAATGTCACAGGTTTTCTTTGAAAAGAATGAACTCTGCACCTCCCACGGTTTTCCTCGGACTTCATTATCTATAAAGACAGAAAATCTTTATACGACTGATCAGTTCAGACGTTTTCATTGGACCAGCTAATAATTTATGTTAAAAATCAGTACAATCAAACTAGATATGTGTGGCCTTCAAAAATATTCTGGGTTTTAAAAATTAAAGTCAGCCTTACTCATAAAATTTATTTTATTGTTATTTAGAAAATAAAAGTTTGTAGTAACAAAATACAGTCAGTACTTACCAGGCACAAACCTGGTACCTACTACAGGGACTGGGCTGCACTAAAAAGGGACTTTTTGCCCTGTACTTAAAGGCTACATACATGGTGTTTACTGGTAACTTACCTAGTACTTACAGGCTACATATTTGTTACTTACCTGGTGTTTTGGTATTTACTGGTAACTACCTGGTACTTAGGCTACATATCTCTTACTTACCTGGTAATTACTAGTTACTTACCTGGTACTTACAGACTACACTATCTGTTACTTACCTGGTACTTACTTGTTACTTACCTGGTACTTATATGGCAGCACGACAGCTCAGTGGTTAGCACTGTTGCCTCACAGCAAGAAGGTCCTGGGTTCAATCCCTGGTTGGACCTGGAGTCTTTCTGTGTGGAGTTTGCATGTTCTTCTCGTGCTTGCGTGGGTTCACTCCGGTCCAGAAACATGCATGTTAGGCTGCCTTCAGGTCCATGCCTCCCTTGCAAAAGAGATCTGTGATCTCAATGGGATTTGTCTGGTTAAATAAAGTTTAATAAATACTTACTGGTTACTTACCTGGTACTTACAGACTACATACCTGGCTGTTACTTACTGGTTACTTACCTGGTACTTATAGGCTACACCAGGTTATTTACCTGATACAGGCTATATGTGGTACTTACTGGTTACTTACCTGGTACTTACTGGTTAATTATCTGGTAGTTACAGGCTACATACCTTATACTTGCAGGCTATGTACGTGGTGTTTGCCTGTTACGCACCTAGTATTTACTGGCCATGAATCTAACCTGGTATTTACAGGCTATGTACCTGGTTCATTTCTGGTACCTACGGGGACTGGACTGTAATATGGGATGTAATATGAGGTGACTTGTTACTCTGTACTTACAGGCTACATAGCAGGTAAGTAAGTACCTGTTATGGAGGTAAGTACAAGCTTACAGGCTACATATAGGTTCTTACCTGCTAAGTAGCCTGTAAGTACAGGGTAACAAATCACTTCATAATACTCTGTACGCACCAGGTACCTACTCACTTTGTACGGGGCTGTATTATGAGTTGCTATACAAAAAAAGTACTGCATTTGTTTGTGTGTGTGAGAGAGAGGGGGGAGATGTGTTGTTAAACACGTGTTGTGTAAATTACATGTAATGTGTTGTTAAATATAAACTACTATTTGGTATTTTGTCATAAATCTCTTGTGTCAGTTTAGTTATTAAAAGCTGAAGCACTGTGCGTGTATTTTTTCTAAACTATGAATCATTTGAACACTCTAATGCTAGATGCTCACATTCTTATAGGTGGAAATATGTTCTTTGAAATCTTTGATACAAGCAAGTCCAACAAAGGTAAACTTCATGTTAAATATTCTCACAGTGCTTTGTTTCAAACATTCTGGTTTTCTGAGGTCACTGAAAACACAGACAAAAGCACAAGATGGGCATGTTGTTATGAGATGCCTACATTTCTAAAGTGTGTAATTCATAAAGAAAATGAGACTGATTTGAGATGGAAAAACATTCCACTTTATCAGATCAGAGTTGAGTAATTCTGCTTGCCCGCCTTTATTTCCGCCCACCTCCTGACCTCTCGACCATCTGAGATCCGCCCTCGAAATGTTCTTTTATTGATGCACTCTTGGAAAATGTTTGGTTGTTCTGTTACACAGAGCTGCAGGAATTCATATGACCACCCCCAGCCTTTAATCGAGCTGAACTCACAAAGAAATTATATCTATAAAAAACAAAAGCTCCAACTTATTGATTTTCAGATGAAGAAAACGTTCAATATTGGGAGGGGGGGGGGGGGTCATATACATTGATGTAAAAAATACATGGATTTTTTTTTTTTTTACAATCAATGTAAAATAACATGTAAACTTTGGAATAATACTAAGCCTTTTTTAAATTTTTACATGGTCAAACTCATACGTGGTATGTGATCTCTGTGACATTATGGCTCTCCTACCTGCAGAGATCAAACCATGACTGGTATTATAGCATTTGCACCATTGTTTCACGTTTTTGTCTGTACTTTCTTTGCAATATATCTATTTTAGCAAATGTGCTACTTTAGTTATTCAAGTATCAAAACATTCAACTCGTTCAAGAGATGGATGTGAATGACTTCATGTTTTTTGTAACTTTTATTCTTTTCAGAATAAATAACTTTGTTTACAAAAAAAGTCCCATAGAATACTACAATTTTTTTCCCCCAATTCCTTCAAAAATATTGCTCTCCTTGAAATCTGCTTCAGGGTACTTGCTTTATTTTTTGTCTTCTTAAACTCTTAATTTTTAACCAGTCTTTTCTACCTTCAGCTTCCACCTGGCCTTTTGCTACTTTCTGCCAGACTTTTTTGTTAGTTTTAACTTTACGACAGCTTTTTACTAATTTTAGCTTTGAGTTAGGATTTTCCTAGTTTTAACATTTAGTTAGCTTTTTGCTACTTCTAGCTTCGTTTATTTTTAGCTAGGCTTTTACGTTTTAGTTTCTAGCAAGACTTTTGCTGCTTTAGCTGTTGTGGAACATTTAGTTAACCTTTTTGCTGCTTTTCGCTACTGTTCTGCTATATTTAGTTGGCTTTTTGCTGCTTTTAGCTACTGTTCTGCTATATTTAGTTGGCCTTTTGCTGCTTTCAACCAGCTTTTTGCTACATTTAGCTTCTAGCTCATCATACAACCTTTATTTATACAGGCTAGTCTCTATAAGGTACAGACAACAATAACAACAGTAACTTATCACAGCTTATCTTGAAAGCAGTCTTTTTCCCACTTTTTATTTTAGCTATTATTTTGCTAGTTTTAAGATTGGGATAGCTTTTTGCTACTTTTATTTTATAGCTAGGCTTTTGATACATTTAGCTTTTTTTAATTTGAAAACTTATTTTTAGTTTTTATTTAGCTTTTTGCTATATTTAACTTTTAGTTATGATTTTGCTACTTTTTGTTTTTTAGTTAAGATTTTGCCATTTTTTTCATTCTGGCTAGCCTTTTGATACTTTTAGTAGCATTTTATTATTTTTAGCTTTAAGCAGCCACTCGGCATTCAAACTCCATTGTAATTAAAAATGCAATTTCTCTCGTTTTATATTAAAACTAATCACATTATTAGGTTTTTTTCTTTAAAAAAAAACCCAGCTCTATAGTTTTCTTCTCATGACTAGGCCTGTCACGATAACAAATTCTGCAGGGCAATTAATTGTCTCAGAAAGTATTGCAATAAACAATAATATTGTTTGAAATTTGACAATAATTAGTAATTATTGTCAAATTAAATAAGAAATGTTTAATTTGTTTTGCATGTAGTATCTTTTTTTCGACCACCAGATTGCAGTATAAGACTGTTTGAACCAAAGGATGGATAGTGAGGGAGTTAGCCTCGTGACTCTTTAAGAAACATGGGAGGGAGGCCCCTTGATGTGACATGGGCTGTATCTCTTCGGTTCTCAAAATGGTGGGCGCTCGGTGTGGTTTGAGCTCTTTAGCATAGCATTTTTCACATAAAGCTTTTAATAAAATATCAGTAAACAACTTAGCTTCTCAGCTTAGTAGTAGAAAAAGAAACGATGAAACGATAAAGTCGATAAATGAAAATGAGGTTGTTAATTTTCATTTATCATGCGATTAATTGATTTATTGCGACAGGCCTGCTCATGACATCAACATTTTTTTCTTATTATTTTTAACTCCCTGACTATAACATTAACCATTATAACATGCTATTTTACGAATTTATAAAGTTTATCAAGGTCAAGATTTCTTTATTGTCATCCACATCACATGTGGTACATGAGGTGGAACAAAACTATGTATACACAGGATTATGACAAATCTCTCTTTCTCTCTCTCTATACACACACACACACACACACACACACACACACATATATATATATATATATATATATACATCCATCCATCCATCCAGTATCTTTTACCCGCTTCTTCCATTTTGGGTCATGGGGGTCACCTGTGCCCATGTCCAGCAATCACTGTGCGAGGGGCGGGGTACACCCTGGACAGGCCACAAGTCCATCACAGGGCCACATAGAGACAAACGAGACAAACATTCACTCTCACCCAGGGACAAGGTGCCAGTCAGCCTAACATGCATGTTTTTGGTCTGTGGGAGGAAACCGGAGTACTCGGAGAAAACCCACGCATGCACGGAGAGAACATGCAAACTCCACCCAGAAAGGCCCCCAGACCGGGATTTGAACCAGCGGCTCTACCAGTTGCGCCACCGTGCCCTCTCTCTCTACCATCTTAGCACCAACATAACTGGTTTGTTCCACTTTTGGAGTAAGCTGTTTGGGGGAAGAATCAGTTTTGTGTTGAGTGTTTCCTTGACTGATGAAGCCTTCCGGATAGAAGGTGAAATGTTTCAGAAAAAAAAAAAAAAAAAAAAAAAGAAACTGTCCAGATGACCTGACTAAATATTGTTGGATTGTATATCTGGATTACTGAGCATGGACTTTTTTTAAACTTGAGTTTTCCCTCTGTTCCCAACAGGCAAATCATATTGACTTGCAGTTACTCCTCCTCACCGTTAGGGGCAGTGTCGTCACGAAGGCGCCGTTTCTTTTTTTTCTCTCTCTGGCATCCCACTGGTGGTTCATTGAAAAAAAAAAAAAAGAGGAGGAGAGCTTTCCGGTTCAAGTGAACACATCGGCTGTGGACGATAAGTGGAAAAAAACAGGTCTAAAACACACGGGCCAGCCTGAAGCACACAGGCCGCATTCTTTCAAACACCTGACCGGTCTGTTCCGAGCGGCTTCATGCTGTGTCACCGCGGAGACGTTTGAGTGTCGGCGTGGAGCGCTGCGCCTGCTGTCGGCCATAGTGTGGGGAAAATGCCTTCTTTCTCACGGAGGTAACGTATCCCAGCCAAGCATGTCGCGATAAGACGAGTTTAGCTGCTTAAAGTTTCATTTCGACATCGCTGGTAAAGATAATAAATTCAGGAAGCGATGTTTGAATTTTTAAGTACAAGGCGAAAACTCGTACGGGCCTTTCTTGTTACGTATTTACACGTTTAGCTAAATAAAAATACCTAGTTAGATACACAGATTGTCCGTTTTAAACTTGAGAGCAACACATGCAGCAGTGTCTGTATTAAGTGTTTTTATTTTACATCACTTATTTGTTTTTCCCAATCTCTGATATTAACTGATCTGTGTCCAGGAGCTCCTCCATCACAGTTTTATTGATTGTCTCCTGTCACACAGGGCTGAATTTCTTTCTGTCTGTGGTGGAGCAGCCTTCTCCATCAGGACCGTGCAGTCCTCCATGTATCAGGCTTCTTGATCAGATCCCAGGTTCTGCTGGACTGGGCTGTGGGTAGACCAGGGCCCAGCAGCACAAAGAGCCTCTGTGTTGGTTCAGGCTCCCCCTGAGAGGAGGAGGCCCAGCCTCACTGCAGTCAGTGTGTCTCAGCAAGGAGGGCCACACCTGGCTGATAAGATGATTTTAACAAGTGGCATTAGACATGTAGGCCACTTTATATCATCACGGTTTGTCCAACAGTTTAATCGTGTTTGTAGGGATGGACGTCTAAACTCATTTTTAGAGCCGGGCTGTCAAACTCGGTCAAAATTAAAAACTTGATCTTAGCCAAGGGTCAGTCTCAATCAATATTTATTGAAAAACGGCATAAATTCGCCTTGGTTTTAGATTTTCTATGAACGTTTTCATATAGAAATACAAATACTTTTATTCTCGATGACATTCTGTATAATTTAGATCAAATGCGCATTATTGAAAAACAGATAAAGATCAATTTAAAAAGACGCGTTAATTTGCCTTACACTTAAGTTATTGGGTTTTTGTTAGCAACACATTTTATTACATTCCATCAATTCAAATGATAAAGAAACCTTAACTTTGTAATAAGAACATGCAGAAAAATATCGGTACATTCAAGCAGACTCCGGTCAGACTCTCAACACATTTTCTTGGCTGCGACTTTAACAACAAGAGTTTGATCAGTTTCATTTAATGTTCTTTGTTACGTTTTCTATGTCGGTCTCAAAATCATACAGGAACATTTTAAAACTGTTTTCTACGCTTCAAAGTTGGTTAACTGTCACGAGAAGACTGCACTAAATGGGCTCAGTTTTTAAGCAAAAGCATTAGAGAGTCTGTCACAGACTGGAGTGCCAGATTGAATACATTTAAAGTCTTATATTTGGAGGCCAGATAAAACCGTATCAAGAGCCAGGTCTGGCTCGAGAGCCTCAAGTTTGATACATGTGTCCTAGAAGAATGTACTTTTAAATTTAACTCAACTTGAAATTAAAATTAGGAAAATCCTGCATGAGTTTTTGTTTTATTTTGTTTCTGGTTAGTGTTATAATTTGTGTAAACTGTTGAGGTATCACTTTAATTCTTTCCTTAAGGATACGTGTAGCACAGGGGTCTGCAACCTTTATGATCAAAAGACATTTATGCCCCTTTGTTCACTAAGTTGTGTCTGGAGCCACAACAGTCTGGTAGTACAACTGTGATCAACTGGTGGCCAGTAGACCACTTTTAAGTTTGTTGGAGGGGGCTTTTCTGACCAGTACAGTAACTTTATAAAACTAAAAATATCAAATGGTTTTTAACGTTTGATATTTGTACATTTTAAGACAAAAAGAAAAGTCCAGATTCTTGTAAAGAAAGAAAAGAAAAATGCAGATTTTCACAATTTTGTAAAATTTTAAACAATGAACTATACAGGCCTATGATTTTATTTTTTTATTGTGGAAAAATTAAGTATTCTACTTTTAAGAGATAAATCATAAAGTGAGTATGTGTTACTCTTTGTATTGTTCACATATTCACATGTTTTCAAATAAAAAATGACAGGAAGATTGTTTAAACGACCCTTTTTTATTTTAGTTTTAACAGCCAATAAAATTCAGTTTTATGTTGGTTTTGCTCAAAGCTTGAAAGAGCTGCTGTAGATGGACCGAAGACCCCCGATCTAGCACATCTACATCTCGCAGAGATGGGGTAGAGGCAGGGCAGCCAACTCGGAAACAAAAAGTCTCAAACTCGATCCCCAGCCACACGTCGTGGTGTCTCTGAGCAAGACACCCAATCCCCAGTTGCTCCCCGGGCACCCACATAGCTGCCCACTACTCCACCTGGGTGTATCCCAGGTGTAATGGGTTAAATGCAGAGAACTAATTTTGCCATTGTATGTGAACATACAATGAAGACAACACATAGCACTTTGTCTTTATCTCACAACAACATTTCTGCCCAGTAAATAATTGTTGTTATCCAAAATTCAGGGGGGGAAACATGAAACTCCTTATTGCAAATACAGAGACTGAAAGATGCTACATAATAAATTGCTTCGGTACTTCTTGCCTCAACTTTGCAGTAGTGTCTTAAGAGTTTTGGTGTTTTTATCGCCCGAAGGTGAGAGTGATAATGTTTTTGCCCTAGTGTGTGTTTGTCAGTAGCAATAGCAAAATATCTCAGAAACCACTGGGCAGATTTTGAAGTAATCTTTGGATGTATATTTACACCTTTTTGGAGTCAACCTAATTCAAGATGTAATCTGGGACTATGGTATTCACTGAAACTAAAGTCTTTCTCACTCTTTTAGCAACATGTTATGCAACTTACCTCACATTAAGTCAGGGTTGATTCCATCTGATTGATTTGAATAGAAAATAAAGTATTTGTGACGTTAACTCTTAGGTTCCCACAAATATAAAGCTATTTTTATGTAAAAACTTTGAAAAGGAACGCTTTGATTTGGATGAAATGATTATCGTGCCTTGTTTTACACTGTTTCATGCCCTTACCAACATCTGTAAAAAGCTTGGTGCCTCTAGGAAGATGAAATTATTGAAGAGACTTTTTATTTTTTTATTTTTTTACATTTGCTTTTATTGAAAATCCTTTTAATCTCAGAGGATTAGGTACTTTATTTTCAACCAGATAAAGTACTTTTTGACCTCTAAAAATGATTTATTTTCCTTAATGTTCATTCTTCCACTGTCTGCTCCGTTACCCTAATCACAATTAATGTAATTAAATCCTTCGTGTGTGATGAGAAGGAACAAACACTGGAAAGGGATGGAGTTGAACTTTTTATTGGTTCCATAAGCTGCTCTGAAGAAGACACATTTATTTTAAGTTTCCTGTAAGTTGACTGTGATTCTGTGTGACATTATCTTTTTGTCCTTCAGGGTTTGGCCTGCACTTGGGCTGCTTTTGTTCCCCTCCACTGTGGCCGCAGACGAGGCCTCACTCCTGGATGGCTGGAGCGATGTCTGGTTCTTTCGCTTCCTCGTCAACATGCTGGGATACGCCACCATCGTCGTCCCCGGCTACTTTCTCATTAGATACTTTAAGCGCTCCAGTTACATAGAGAGAGGTGTGAATCTGTGAAACTTGAGACCGTTCTGGAGTAGAAACTTGCTACTTGAGCCCCTCTCTAGCTCACGCGTCTTTTTGTTTCCCCTCTCCCAGGTAGCGGGCTGTGCTATCCGCTCGTAAAGACGTGTGTGCATGGCAGCGAGGACAAAACCGGCCTGCTGGAGGATGGATCCGTTACCAGCAGGAACGAGGTTGAATCAGGCTCATCAGTCAAACACGCTTTAAAGTTAATCTTCTGTGCTGCAGGACTTCAGGTAGAGGATCCTCCCAGAACCAAAAGCCACTAAATACATAACTCAGAAGAATAACGACCGCTTTGTGTGTTTGCTGTGCATATTTGCCAGATGTGTAAAAGCACAGCTGTTAACTGGTTGTTTTGATTCTCCTTGTCAGTTCTGAAGACGCCCTAGTTGGATCTTACTGCAAAAATCCATAGATCTATTATGAATTTAAGCCTAAGCAGAGGTGTGGCTCCAACCTTCATGGAAAAACAAATATACACTAGAATAAATGTATACTGAACAAAAATATAAACGCAGCACCTGCTTTTGCTCCTGTTTTTCATGAGCTGAAAAAGATCTAAGACGTTTTCCATGTACACAATAAATTCAAAAAGGTTCAAGACAAAAAATGCACATAATACATGTACACAACGGGCTTTTTCTCTGAAATATTGTTCACATATTTGTGTAAATCTGTGTTAGTGAGCACGTCTCCTTTGCAGAGAAAATCCATCCACCTCTCAGGTGCGGCATGGTGGTTAGACAGCACGATTTTTGCGCAGGTGTGCTTTAGGCTGACCACAAATGGCCGCTCAAAAAATGTGCAGTTTTGCCGCACAGTAAGAAGCCACAGATGTTGCAAGTTTTGAGGGAGCGTGCAGTTGGCATGCTGACTGTACGAATGTCCACCTGAGCTGTTGCCCGTGAAGTGAAGGTTCATTTCACCGCTCCACCCTGGCGAAACGCAGCTGATTTGACCATTAAAGTGCATTTATTAAGGAAAAGTTAAACTGAGACACCTTTTAATATAATGTCAAGCAAACTAATGATTGTTTTTAGGTGGTTATGTTGTTAAATTTTGAAGAAATGCACAGCAAGTCCTTCCTCTGCCTGCTCTTGCGTCCGCAAATCTATTTTTGAAATGCAGCTGATTTGACTGTCAAAGTGCATTTATTAAGGAAAAGTTAAACTGAGACACAATTTTGATATAATTTCGAGCAAACAAATAATTGTTTTTAAGTGTTGATCTTGTTAAATTCTTCTTAAAGTCTTCCGTGCGTGCTCCCGCAGCCGCCATTTGGCAGCCAATCGGTTTTTGGCACAACACCGACCCACGTTTCCAGGTTGTCAGCGGTGATGCATAATAGATGAGACGTATTAGTTTTTTTCCACTTTATAAGACGTATTTTAACTGATGCGACTTATACAGTGGTGCGACGTGTACGGCGGCAAGTACGGTATATATTTTTGGAGGGTTGTCAGTGGTAGGTAACAATGCAGGAAAAGCACTGTTGGGAAACAAATTAGCGTGTCATTACCAGGTGCAGGTGTTAAAAACGAAACTTATCTTTAGGGTTGCATTAATTCTTCAATTTTGCTCATTTTTACTAGACTTCAAATGTTCAAACAACAGCCTGTTCTTGATAAACCGAGATGGTGTAGAGGCAGGGCAGCCGGCTGGGGACCCGAAAGTCCCAGGTTCGATCCCCAGTCACTGCACATCATGTGGTGTCTCTGGGCAGCACACCTCATCCCCAAAATGCCCCCCGGGGGCTTTCAATAGCTGCCCACTGCACCACCTGGTGGTGGATGGGTTAAATGCTGAGACTAATTTCGCCATTGTATGGAAACATACAGTGCTGACATTGTGATGACATTATTATTATTATTATTATTATTATTATAAACGGGGCACCTCAAGCTGGAATATCATCATTTTGCTGTAAAACCATGTAATGTAAATTTAACAATAGTGTAAAGGTTTATAATATAGATTTGTCATGGACAGTTTTATAACAAACAGTAGTCCCTCACTACTTCGCAGTTCGGTTACTGCGGACTTGCTCTATCGCGATTTTTCAAAACAAGATTGGACATGACACACAATTGACTGACTGACAAATGATCAGTATGGAATTTTAATATAAAATAAATTATTTTAAATTATTTAGCACCTGCTGCACCTTTGTGCAGCCCATACTGCAGGAGAAACTTCCTGCTGCAGCTGATCAGCTGTTCACCGTGCAGAGCGGAGAAGTGGGCGTGGCCAAGAGCGTTTGCAGGTGGCAAAGAGCAGCGGGGGGGGGG